GGACTGTTTCTGACATGAAATGATTGGCCTGCTCTTTGATCACCTGAGGGGGGAGTAGGCCACAGAGGAAGACAATGCAGCCACTCCTGATGAGACTTAACAGACTAGGATCAGAAGGAAGAAAAAGAAACCCTCCCCTACCAGTGGCTTTGGAGAGGGGAGAGTGTGGAGAAGAGGGAGGAAGGGAAGGATTGGGAGGGGAGATACAAAGTAAATAAAGTATAATTAAAAAAAAAAGAATAGGCTTGATAAATGAAAGTATGAAAAACTGAAACTGAGGGGAATGGAATGAAGTTGCCAAGAAAACAACTAAACAGCATAGAGGAAAATATTCACATTTGCAAGGCGATAGACACAAATAAGACATAATTATACACAGGACCCAAAATGAGAAAAAAAGATGGAAATACATTTTGCATATATTTACATAGTTTATGTGATGAAATGAATTTTTTTCAGAAGGTAAATATAACTTTTGAAACTGTAAAAGCAACAAAGATAATTATATTATCACAATTGGTAAAAAAGAGATTACATACAAAATGAATTAATTTCCACATTCTTTTCAACATCTCTCAATCTGCCCTAAATGACAGTCATAAGATTCTGTTATGAATTGCGAAATATTGAAGCATATAAGGTAAAGTTATGCAAGAAACTATAGAAAGGATGAAAAGCAATGAAACAGCTAATAAGATGCTAGGGCTTGAGATGAAAAGTAAAAAGTATCAGAGTATAATCATGACACATTATAGATAGATTTAATTCCTTGTAAAATTATCGAGGCAACCTCTGTAACACACACTCACAAAACAAACATTCCATTTTTACCAAGAGATAACACAAATGACAAAAGAAAAAATAATAGAGAAATTCCAAACCAGGATCCAAAAGATAATTTCAGAATTAAAAAGATATTAAAGTCATATATATCACTTATATTAAAATGTTAATATGAATTTAAGATAGACATACGTGCCTTGGAATAAGCAAAATAAAATTGATGTGAAGTAATAATAAATATAAGAAATATGACCCAAGGTCCTAACATAGGGCTACCGAACACTTGGCTTTGTCATTTCCTGACAGATTGAGTGAGAGAGGAGCAGTATTTGCTTTAATTTGGTCATTAGTCAAACTCCTGGCACAGAGACCCTAATCCTTTGATGTGCTAGGAAAGAGACGTGACTGCTTTTATTCTAGCAAAATGTCTTTTAGTGGGCTCTTGGGAGGAACAAGTTGCCAGAATGACCACGTATGATCAAACATTACAGACTCTCAGCCCATCTGCCTGGGAGAGAGGAGCTGGTCACAAATCCGCCATAAACTTTCCTGAATGGCAGATCCTCAGTTCTGGGTTGCTGAGCACAAAGCTGTGGTAGGATGGTACTGAGCTGCATGGAAAATCCTCATTACTGTTTCCCAGCAACCAACACCTTACCTGTGCATCTCTTCCATTTCACCCTTCTTGACTTGGATGCCTTTTAATAACAGGCAAAGGCAGCTGAAATATGTCCCTGAGTTCTCCCAGATAATGATCAGACCTTAGAAAGGGACTTATATGAACCTCAAGTTGTATAGTCAAATCTGACAGAGTTGTTTGTAGGTTGGCGTCACCACTGTTTTCCCCCAAGGGAAGGGACACATCTGTGACTCTGAGCCCAGTGGACTCTGCCTTACTTTGGCAAGTCAGTGCCAGGAAAAAGTTAAAAGGACACCCAGGAGATGCTGGAAACTAGTAGTTGTGGGAAAGCTCTGAGAAATGCCATATAACTACTCAAAAGAAAGAGTTTGCTGTTTCTACACGGCAGGTAAGGATTTGCCAGACATCCACTAAAAAAAAAAAAAAAAAGCAAAGCAGTTGTGGGCTAGGTTTTAAAAATAATCTCATGAGAATTGAAGATAAATGTTTTAAATAGAACGAAAATAAAAGTACTATATATCAAAACATATAGCTGGTTGTTAAAATTTTGATTATGATAAAGTTCAGGCCTTCCTTCATATGATAAACAAGAATATATAGGAATGGTGGTGTAAGCCTGTAACACCAGCACTCAGGAGGTTGATATGGGAGGATCATGAGTCCAAGACCAGCATGTACTATGTGGCAAAGCTCATCAAAATTAATAATAATAATAATAACAACAACAACAAGGAAATACCACAGGTTAAATGACTTAGAAACCCACCACAAAGTTGCAAAGAAGCTCTGACATTAATGAATCCCAAAGACACCATGCAAACAAATGCAGCCAGATTCCAGTCTTGAGATTTGTTCTGCTATTGTGTTGGGATGAACATTCAACATATTCCTGCTGCCTTATTGATTGGCCCCAGTGGCTCCCAGCATTCAGAGATGGCAGGAATTCATCACTTGGATGCTTGAACAGGGATGGAGAAGATTGCACCTCCAGCAACCTTGTGATTTGCACTGCCCTGCTGTGTTGTTGGTTGCTTTGTCATTGTTGTTCTTGTCAACTTGACACTAATTAGCATCATCTGGGAGGAGGGAAGTCAACTGTGAGAGTGACTCCATCAAATCAGATTGGCCTCTAGATAATTCTGTGGGGCTACTTTGATAAATGTCTGACGTGGGATAGCCAAATTTACCGTGGGTGATGCCACCCCTGGGCAGGCAGTCCTGGAGTATATAAAAAGCAGGCTGAGCCAGGCAGTGGTGGCACACATCTTTAATCCCAGCACTTGGAAGGCAGGGGCAGACAGATCTCCTTGAGTTTAAGGCCAGCCTGGTCTTCAAAGTGAATTCTAGGACAGCTAGGACTATGCAAAGAAATTTTGTCTGGGGTGAGGGTGGGTTTAGTAAGCAGGCTGAGCAAGTCATGGTAGCAAGCCATTAAGCAGCATTCCTCCATAGAGCATGCTTCAGAGCCTCCTTGAGTTCCTACACCAACCTCCCTCATTGATGAGTGAGAGGGTGTGGAAGTGCAAACCAAACAAACCCTTTCTTCCCTAGCTGTTTGCATCACACTATAGAAAGCAAACTAGGACACTTGTCATCTGCTGTAACGACTAAGTGCTGGATCAGTCCAGGTCAGAGAGGACCCAGCAGCCAGGTGGGTTGCTACAGTGATATCTAAGGATCTGTGTCCAAATACGTGTGTGTGTGTAAGAAAATATGCACAATTAAAAGTGGAAAAACCCACTACAAATACAAATGAACTCCTAGAAATCCTAAAGCTTATGTTTAAAACTTACAACTGTGTCCAAAACTTGATTGATTAACTTTAAAATAAAAATATAACTTAAACCGGCTATGGTGGTGCACACCTATAATCCAGCACAGAAAGCTAAAGCAGAACTTTGAGTTCCAGACCAGCCTGTGATACAGAAATAGCTCCTGTCTAGAAAGTGCATACACAGGTACACACACACACACACACACACACACACACACACCCCTAAAATTGACACTGAAAGTTCCAGAAGGTCTAATCCATTCAATGGGAGAAATTCAGAAACAAGGTCAGCTCTCAGACAGTTCTTGCCCACTTAAGTAAAAACTGTCTCTAAAACCAATCAGAATCATCCCTTAGTGTCCTTAGTACTGGTTTCAGGCCCTCCTGTGCATGCAAAAGTATGTGAATGTTCACATCTTCCCTATAAAGTGGTGTGGTATTTGGATATAATCCATATATACCCTCTCATTTACATTACACTATCTGTGTATTTATAATGTAAATGATACATGTACATTTACATCTAAATGTAAATGAAACTATTTATAATGTAAATGATATGTTCTTGCTATAGTGCACTAACAATAGAATAACACAAGAAAAAGCTGCATATGCTCCATAAAGATGCAGCTTTTGAATATTTTCATCGACAATTGATTGAATCCAATGATAAACAAAAACAAGCTATAAATTGATCTTAACTACGGACATTGACAGCAAAAATCATAAGACAATGTAGGCATCACCTCAGGAATATATTAATGATCTTACCTTAAGTATTCTGTTAATGAAACCTTCTGCTGGGGAAAACTGAAGTTTCTGGTCCTTTCTATGGATACTGGGAAGGCTTTGATAGGAAGATACCATCCCAATTTTCCCCAGAGAGCAGTAAAAGTTGAGAGGATACATGTATAATTTTTATTATGATGAGGAAAATACATGTGTTTACACAAGTAAAATTGTGAGTCATTAAAACATCCATCAATGTTAAGAACAAGACAAGTATCAAAACAAGCCAATTACCATTTTCAAGTGCAATTGAACAGAAAGAAAATAAAGATATTGGGAAGGATGAGATAAAGAAAAAAACTTAGAAACAAAATTGTCCCAATTATGGTGGCATTTCCCAACACAAATACCTGCTGTATAAATCCATTGTGACCCCAAGTAGATGCCCATGACACAGAGAATAAGAGGAACAGAGCAGAAGAGAGTATCCACCTGAAAATATTGTTAATAATAATAATAATAATAATAATAATAATAATAATAATAATGATAGAACTTTGGAAAGCAACAGCATTGAGGCAGATTAATCAACAGAACAGAAAAGCACTTGGAGAAACATAATTTACATGGAAGGTGACAATATGAACAGTATGAAGAGTCTCATTACATTACAGAAATGCTTTATCATATGTTTTATGTATCAGTGACCACTCTTGGAGATAAACAACTAGATCCTTACATTTCATATAATGAATCTTAAAGAATCAAAAGTTGTAAAGGTAATCAAGTGAAAATGTTAAGTTTTAGAAAGAAAATATGAGTAATTTATTTGTGATTTCAAAATGGGGAAGGCCTCTTAAAACCTAGAGGGAAAGCTTATGTTCTACAAAAGAAAACATGAATAACTAACAACATAAACTTTTATATGCCAATAAATATGCAATCAATAAATACCCTAAAAACAAATGGCAAATAAAAATTAAAACAATAATGAAATTTGTATAAAAGATATAAATATTAAAAAATTCAGATTACCAAAATATATTTGAAAAATTAGAACTTGTTCATGGTAAAATGAACTAAAATCAAAATGGTTTTTGCCTTATCATTTTTACCAGTCAGATTGGGAATGGAAAAATTAAATTTGAAAATACTTAACACCAGAAATCTGAGAATTTGGCCCTTTCACTACACTCCGAATAGGGGTATCCACTGACCAGTTTACAGAGGACCATCTGGAAAAATTTATCAAAAGTGTAAATGCACGTAGTTTTAGATCCAGTAGTTCCATTTCTAAACTGGAATTTATAAACAAAACTATGACAAAGTATGCACCAAAATGCTAACTACAGGCTGTGTATAAAAATAAAACCTGGAACTATCGTAGCTATGTGTTCACCGCTAAAAGGCTAACCCAACAAATTATGAGCCACCAATGGAGTGGAACTCTAAGCAGCTATTAGGAGGAATGAGGTAGACCTTTAGATGTCATTATGAAAAGCTGTCTAGGACAAAACACTAGGTGTCTGACACCTTTCAAGCATGAGTTCTAGGGAATCAATGACAATGTCTCTCCATGCTCTCCCCCCTCTCTGTCCATATCTTTTCTTTCTCCCTCTCTGAAACCATCCCTAGGAGAAAATGGGAGCAAGGGGAGACTGTTTTGAACCATATACATTTTCTAACTATGAGCACAGTTTTTCATCATCATTTTTATAATGACAATAATTACTCAGATAGTCAAAGCAATGCTAGGGTTCAATTTTTTAACTAACAGTAAGACACAGAGCCTGGTCTTTTGGTATCAAAATACACCTATTTGTTTCTAGTTACTTTAATCAAAAAGCATAACATCAGCAAAAAAAATCTTGTGCATCATTTGTTGATACTGTATATAACAGATGCATGCTGGAAATGATGCTGTTCTAGATGGTAGGTGCTGAAATCAACAGTCTCCAGACTTATCCACGTCACTCTACATACACTATCTGCTGCTCTATTCAGCTGAACTCATACACAAAACACACACAGGGCATACATGCACATGCCCACATACACACAGGTTACCACCAAGACTTCAGCTTCCTGCAGGAAAATTAATGGCTGGGGAAATATGAATTTTTTTTTGTTGTTCTGAGAAATCTAACCTTCCCTCATGACTCCATCTCTGGAGTCAGAAGATTAAAATTTCTGAAATCTCAAAAGCCTAGTGTAATTTTAAGCTTCAGGAAGTTCAAAAACATAATGGAGCAGGAAAATATTTTTCTTCTTGGTAAAGTATCCTTCCTCTTACCTCATTAACAAACAAGGATGTGAAGTGCAAACAGACCAGTATGAGCTATACAGCAAGACCCTAACTCAGAAGAAGAAGAAAAAGAAGATACATACAATGGCACCCCCTCATCTCCAGTGACTCCATGCATTGACCCTGAGTCAGCTATGCATCTGATTCCATGAGAAGGCAGATCCCTAGAAGCCAAATCCTCATGCTACTAGCTTGGTATCTAGATGCATCACCAGTGACATCACCTCTCTCCAGCTCTGGCTACACAGGAGCCTAGAGGGGTCTTAACTGATTCTCCATAGCTGCCACATGGGGAAGGCCTTGTGGCCTGTTCACTTGGTGGTGTCCAGCAGCATAAATGTACATACAACCTTCTAAGACTAGTGAAGTGTGCCATGTGGAGCAACTAACATGCTCTCATTTTTAAAACACACAAAAGGTTTAGGTAAGCTTCAGGTACTCCTTAGTTAACACTCAGAACTCCATTTGCCCCTTCACATTTTGCACAATCAAACAGACTCACCCTAACTCTTCTGGACACTGGGCAGAATGAAGCTTGGGGGTTACCTGAAATCTACAGGAGCCAAGACCTCCAATTTTGGCTAGGGTGAGTCCTAGTCTAGAACTGACACAAACTGTGTTCTAATTTCATTGACAGTACAGATCTAAAGAAATTAACTTGCTCAAAACATCTTTTAGAAGGCCAACTTTCTCTCTAGTATAAAGTTGTCATTAGTAAAGACAAAAAATGGGGGAAGGGGAAATAATAAGTTGAATCACAGAAAAACCAGCAGAGAAGTTTGTAGTTTGAATTAGAGTCTGCCTTCCTTTCACAAGGCAGTTGTTGAAATGGACCCAGTAAGGGCTGTTTGGCACTGGTTTCAGCCTGGGTCTGTACATAGCACAAGCAAACAGTAAACTCTTGTGGGAGCCCACGACAAGGGGCATGCAGGCATGCAACACCAGCTGGACAGGCCTCTACAGGCCAACCAGAGCTATTGAGAACTATCCTTCAGGGCTGTCCAGAGGGGGCAAAGGACCACCTAGTGCCCCTGATGAGGATGAGGATATGTCAATAGTAAGTGCAAAAAGAGTAAAAAGAAGGGTGCTGGGATCTTTTTAGTTAAAGTAACCAGGAAACAAATTCTCAAGACTGGCAGCTACTAGATACTTCAGAGTTGTTCCATTTAGCGTAATATGGGGTTAGGACCCCAATTCTCATCCTCCTTATCTGTGCATTTCCTATGCAATTATATTAAGCAAAGTCTTTGGACACAGCCTCCACAAAATTTGGTGCTGACATAAGGATGCCAATGGTGCAGATGATGGTAAAGACTGAAAAGGCCATGAGGCACAAGCGGTCCACCACGCAGGCTGCAAACTTCCACTCACTGCAGACCACTTCACTCTCATCCTGACAGCGGAAGCGGTTGGCGATGTAGCGGACCTCCTCCAGGATCTTGGCCAGGTCGGGGTCCCCATCAGAGGGGTGCGTACCATGCATGAGGTGCTCATCATGTGTTGGAGAGCAGGCCAAACGGCCACACACAACCCCAGAGTCTGGAGTTGGGGCACAGTGCATGCCCTCCAGGCCTCTGAAGCCAATGTAGAGCAGATTGCCATTGCTGGTGGGTGGCCCGGCCCCTGCGCTCAGCTCAACACTGGCCAGGCTGCAGCGGCGAGGCTTGTGCTGACAAGCAGGCCGCACCTTGTCCTCTCCAGGCCTCTTCATGCGCAGGAACCACGCACACCAGTTCAGAAGAATGATCCTGGTCTGCAAAGACAAGAGGATGTCAAGAGCAGCTCAGAGTTGATTTATAAGCTGAGCCCCACAGCAATGTGACCCCACAGTGGAAGCCCTGCTTTATAGATCCTGGGGAGAACAGGCTTCCCGGCTTCTCAGAGATTTTATGCAGCAAATCAGTTAGGAAACCTTGTAAGAATGGAGTCAAATGTGAGCTGAAAATATGATCTATGTAGGTTTAAAACTGTGGGAAGAACGTGAAGATCCCTCAGGGTAGACACACTGTATCTTCTATGAGAGAAAAAAAAAGCAGCTAGCTTGGTAAGAACGCCTGCGATGTGTTTCCTGAGCCTTTCTCTTTTACTTCTAGGGACCTGAAGATCTAATTCCCTGGCTCCCATGCAGACTGTAAGGTGCCCTGGAGGGTCACTGAAAGCCAAGACAGGCTCTGCAATGTGTCAGACACAAAGCAGACTCCCAGCTTGGAGCAACTTCAGCGTTCTAACTTCAGATGACCACATCTCTTGTGAGTCATTCTCTATCTGCAAGATTGGTTTAAAAAGTTGTACTAAAATACCAAGAGAATCAATGAGAAACAGAAAATGAGGGTGATAGCCTCTAACCAGTTTCCAGGAGTTGACACGACATGTAGTCTCCATGGATGCCAGGCAATTAAGGCAAAGGCTTGAAATAATTTGTTTTAAATGGGCTGTTGGGCCTCAGAACCCTGGGGGGGGGGGGATAGATGAGATATTAATATGGAAGACAGTTTAGGTGCTTCTTCTTTCTTCTTCTTCTTTTTTTTTTTAGTTTTTTGTTTTTTGTTTTTTTTTTGTTTTTTTTTTTTTTTAGTTTAGATGCTTCTAATCCAATTCATTGGGCTATGATGATGAGCAAGACCATGGCTGGAACAGTATGCTGAAAAGGCAGAAGCACATATTAGCACACTTCCATGAAGGCCCCTGACAAAAATGTCCAGTGCTGGCACATAATGAGTGCATGAGTGTATGGGAATGAGGGTTGCCTAAAAAAAATCATTTATTTTTAAAAAGGCTGAGAGCTATAGTTGAGTATTGAAGTCATAGTTTATCAGCCTGGTCCTTAGAGTTTTATAATTATACAGTAATTAAGTATTGGAATCTATGTCTGATGCATAGAGAAAACAGTGAAAAGTTACCCTGAGAGTTTATAGGTTTTGTGTTTTGAAGCAGCTAAAACCTCAGCCTGGACCAAAAAAAAAAAAAAAAAAAAAAAAAAAGTAGTAGTAGAAGAGGAAGAAGAAGAAAAAGAAGAAGAAGATTATTTTTCAAGACAGTCCTAGTGTGTAAACAGTGGGCCTTTTCTTAAGCCCACCAAGATACATACTTCATGTTCATCTTGACTTATGATCTCAAGAAAATTCCTCAGCTTCCCATCTGAGGAAGATACAAGTTGTGAAGTTCAAGTCTGTAGTCCTTGCTTTCTTGGCAATCATTTTTATGGCATCTTATCAAAAAAAACAGCAAAAATCAGGTCTGTAGATAGGAAGTGAGAAGCACAAAAAAGTGCAAGCTTAGGTTCCCCACAGCTGAGAAGCCTTTCACAGCTTTACTTCCAGTGGCAGACTTCACTGGGAAAAGCCCATGGCTGTAAGGACTTTTCAAGATTAGGAAGAATTAGGGACACACAGCTACCTTCTCATTTAGGAGTCATTTAGGAGACACGAAGTGAGAATAAATCCCCAATTTTACAGATAAACTGTTGCTCAAAGAAGATACTGAACTGGTTCGTGGCCAGCCCCTTACTGTGTCTACAGTGTTTGTTGCAAGCGTCATCTACCAATGGCACCCCAGGGTTCTCTTCAAAACTCTTATGACTTAGCCAACCTTCTTTCAGAAGACAGTAGAAGGCCAATGCAGTCTCAAAAGAGATCTCAAAAGAGGCTGTGAAACTATACGTGAAAGTGAACCCAGAGGCAGCTGTGTACACAAGAGCTGAGTAGGGTTGGGCATTTCCCCTGCTACAAGGGGGTCTGTGTGCCATCTGAGATTCATCTGAAACTAGTAAGGTCTATGTTACCAAGTCTGTTTTGAATTCCCCAGTCTGAATCATTAGCTTTCAAGGACAGCACATCTCCAAAGACAGAATTATCCTCTCGGTACTTATCAAACCGTGCCCATGACCTCTTCTGTTAGCCTACGGTTTTGTTGTTACTTGTGCAAATGTCACATAATGCCACTGCACCCGGCAGCAGCTTCTGCATAATAGCAACAAATCATAATAAGAGTCCCTTGGAGACTGTTTATGTTTCAGAGACACATGGAATGAATGAAAAATGTCGCATGCTTTATAAAATGAGAAATATAAACTTATGTTTTACTTGCAACCAATTGGTTTTAACAACCTTTTATTCTGAGAGGCTTTTTATCCTGATAGACAAAAATGTTCTTAATTAAGATTCTAGGAGAATAAAGTGGTACCAGTCCATTAAAAATGGTTTTGTGTCTCTGCGTGTCAGTTCCTGTATCTTCTCACCAGCCAAGATACTTAAAGAAGTAAGTATGAGTGCATTTTTTTGTGTTAGCATAAACACTAGAGGAAAAATAAGAAATTAATTAAAATGGTTATCAATATTGGCGGTTAAAGGGATGGAAGTAAAATGGGAGGCAAACTTCCTTATGTATAACACTGATTTTACTCTTGCTTTTGAAACAGGTGTGTGCAATATGCTTCAAATGGATGGACAGGCAGGAAGCCACGTAAGTCACACCTAGCTTATTTTACCCTAGTATACCACGATGCTAATAAAGAGGGAAATAAATGTACCTCAACTTTGCAACAGGCCTGGTAATCACTAAAATAAGCTTCATGGATGGCAACAAGAGCATCTGAGACATAAGCAGCAAGGCTAAGCACATGCTGAGCTGGGACTACGAACTTTATGTGGGATTTTTATTATGCATATAAGGCAAATAGACCCAAAGAACTAATGCTTTCACAAGGCCACTGAAACATAAAAAAGGCCCTTGTCTAAGTTAATATACTATAAGGCATTCATGATTAGGCCATGTAAGGTATTTAAGGTACAATGGCTGTATTCAGAAGGTTGGAAGCCTACTGGGGATCTACATGCATCATTTGCCATATTCTGTGTTTGGCATGTGGGTGATTCCTAATTTTCTTTCTGGGACCTGAATGGGTCATCAGACATGCCCCTGTTGGGATGGAAAGGGATGTTCTTAGACAGGAGGACAAGGGATATCTGCAGGGCTCACCTGCAGATATGGTGAGGACTCAGGTTAGCTCCCCCTCTACTTTGGGCTATATTCTGGCAAGGTGGGAAAATATATGGGCTCAGACTAAATTCTAGTCAAGGTCTCTGTGCATCAGCAAAGTGTGGAGCTTTAGATACTGGGTCCTGAAATGCCTTGGCAGATGAGCATCAGCAGCTAACAGTGATGCTTACAAGCACAGGAAAGTGATGATGTTCTCTGGGCTGAGGGCTCATCCATTTCCTTTTGTTCTCTCTCTGCTATCCACTGGGGACTATTCATCTTATGTCATGGGTTTGGATAGAAATTTGACCCTCTGCAGTAATGGTTTCTCCCTAGTTAATTCTAGTAAACATACATTGAAAAAAAGTTTAGGAAAAACAAAACCTGAATGTGTACTGATCGTGTTCAGATATTTTTCTTATATTATTCCCCAAACAATAGAGCATAAGAATGACTGGCATGGCATTTACACATCAGTATACAGTAGGTCATCTGGAGATGATCCGCAGTACACTAGAGGATGTGGACAGGTTCTGTGCAAATGATACACCATTTCAACAAGGAGTGGGGGCATTTTCAGACTTCTCTGTTGTCAAGAGTTCTACATCCAGTGACCCGTAGATACCGAGAAACTCTCATTCTGGTTCTTATTCTTTTTACTCCTCAGTCTGCTGTGAATTTCCAACCACGGTGTTTCATGGCCACTCTGCTAGTTCCTCCAACTGCTACACTGTACTCCTCAATGGACATAGGGAGGGAGCACTCTTAAAATGCAACGCTAGCAGAATACACAAGCAGTCAGTGTGTAGCCCTGATCTGGAATGTCAGTGTGAAACCCTGCCACCGCGCTATACCATCCTCAGATGTATACTGAGGGATGAAGACTGTTTAGGGGTACTAGACATTAGAAAACAGCAAGAAGTCCCTCTTTCATGGAGAGCTGAAACTCTACAGAGGCACAGGACATACCCACTTGGGCATTTTGCCTCCATCGGGGTCATGGTGGTGATATCTCAGCACAATCACTGTCACCACCACAGACAGGCCCACGATGATCATGGTGCTGGCGAAGTACTGTGCTGTAGAGAGAACAGAGGCAGTGTGAATCTTGGGGCCCCAGCAGCACCTACTAGGATTATGTTCTCCTATCAGGCCTCACTAAAAACAAGTGGTAGCCTAATACCCCCACTTCTTGTAGGAAAGGAACAGCATAGACCTCAAAAATTTCAATCTCTACCATAAAACAGAAGTGATAACTCTCCCACTGAAGCCTAAAATTCCCTCACAGGATACAGTTCCCATCCCCATGACACACAGGACTAGGAACTAAGCCCTGGCTACAGCCGTGAGAACTGAAAATTAAACTGGACACAGCATCATTTACATAATCACCCTTGTTTCCATCTAGGAAACTATATACAGATATGGGGGTCTTCCTATTTCTGTCCCTCATCCATGGGCCTATCCTAGATAAAACATATCTGTTCTACTCCCATTTCTCTAAACACACAGTAAACAATATCTAGGTAAAATAATAAGTCTCTAATTGTAAAATCTTTGGGTCTAGAGAAGAAAGTATGATTGGGGGGAGTACAGCACCCACCCATATGCATGGCTGTGCACATGCACACAAGTGTGCACGCGCGCGCGCGCACACACACACACACACACACACACACACACAGATAGACCTCTCTCATTTTTTGAGATGGTTCATGCTATGTTTCCGTGGCTAGTCTTAAACTCCTGCATCCTCTAATTTTCCTGCTTCAGCATCACAAATACTGAGTCTACAGGTATATGCCACCATGAATGGCCTTTTTTTTTTTTTTTTTTTTTCAGTTTAAAGGCAAGTCACAAAATTGGACATCTCTTTCTTTTCCCTCCAGCTTGGGCCTAGGTATGAGCCATGGTGTTTTGCAATAGTTGCAATAGTAAGTCATGTCCCCACAGCAGAGGACAGAGGGGTAGAATAGATCCTCAGGGCCTTAAAGGACGTGTTCCTCCTCCATGCACCTCCTGGGAAATCCTAGGCACACTTGAGCCCTTGCCTTACCTATCAAGGGCACGGAATCAGATGTTGCAGGCATGATCTCAGCCACAAGAAGCATGAAGACAGTCAGAGAAAGCAAGACAGTTATTCCTGAAACAAAAATGTGAGGAGGTCCTTAAGCAGAAGAGAAAACAAGGTCAAAATTCCATTTCATATGAGCTTTCTACACTAGCTTCAAAGCACTAGGTAGATGGCTGATGCTAAACCATAAGTCCCATGGTTTCTATACATATAGGCATATGCATTTTCTAGGTATGGTCCCTGTCACATCCCAGAGCCCAAAGGAACCTCTAGCAGAGGCAATTTTAGAAACCACAACTTGGAGAGAATCGACCAGCATGATTACTTCTCAAGGACTTTAATGCATTAATACTAAGAAGCAGTTTTACACAGCAGGATCAGGAAACCATGTGGCCAAAGACTTAGTTTCATTCAGGTCTTGACTTTGCAGCTTAATTAGATATGCGACCTTGGGTAAGATATTTAACATTCTAAGCCTTATGCTAAGAAAGCTTGTGGAAGCTTTCTTCAATACACTAAATATGATTTATTTAGTAATTTTTTTATATAAGCAGCTCATTTTACCATTCAAAACTTCATTTTTCATATCTTCACAGAGAAGTAATTACAAGGAAATGCATTTCTATGGTAACGCGTACAATAATTTACAAATGCAAGCTGATATTATATAAATGTGTCTCCTATCCATAATGGAGGTGGGTCAGTTGGCACTGAGAAGCTGGGTGGGTGGCAGTGAGAAAAAAACAGCCCATCAGGGTAGAAGTGATCTGGTCCTTCACTGTATCCTGTCTTCTTCACAAGAACATGGAATCCCTGGATCTTGACAATTCTCAGAAAGGCATCTGTCTCCTAAAGAGCCAGAACCAGGAGTTTCTGAAGTTGTGAGGCTGATCCCGGAACAGAGGTCCATGTGTGGTAGGTCACAAGGAACTCCTGTATAGTGCACAGTGACCTGCAGAGCCAGCCTCAGTGAAGGACCTGGACACTTACCAAGGGAGATTTTCTCCCCAGAATCTGCAGGGAGCAAGAACACCAGCAGAGCCAGGGCTGAGATGAGCACGCAGGGGATGAGCAGGTTGAGACCATAGTAGAGCGTCCTGCGGCGCATAGTTACTGTATAGGTAACATCTGGGTATGGCTCTTTGCAACACTCATAGAACTTCTCGTTCCTCTTGCCGGGGATTCCTGAATAGGGTGCCAGAGAAAGGAAGTGGGTCATCAGAAGACACAATTGTCTTTTGTTGCCACATGTGTACTAAACAGGACCACACGCCTAAGAAGGTGGGGGTTGGGCATCTGAACACCCTTACTGGTATGCTGCAGCTGTTAATCAGTATCACAATGATACCAGCAAACTAGGAGAAGCATTTTACAGCATTACAGATGCAATTAAAAGCAGGTGCCACAAAATGGTGTTTCTGTCAAAGATGGAAAAAATACACAATGGTGAGCCAATATCATTGTATCGTTTACTGATTTCTGCAGCTGTCTCACTTTGTATAGCATAAGTGCATTCTATGATGCTCTCGCAATAAAACTGCATAACGACACTTTTAAGAATGTATACATGATTGTAAGCGACTCATTAATAATGGTTTGAACTTAAAATAATGCAATATAGGTTCCCATCGATAAAACAAAAAATAAAAATGGCTACAGAGAGAAAAATCAAACTATTTTTCTAAGACCTGAGAGATTTGCCAACAGGTGGTAAATTATCATGCAGGTATCACGTCAGGAAGTGTGTCTGTTAGAAGGAACAATTTCTCAGACTCTCACATTACTTCACAAGATTAAGATTACTAGAGTGATCAGTTTGCTCCCTGGCCTACACAGGCCAATGGACTCCGGAAATTTACAACTATGCTGATCCACACCATTATCAAACTACGCACCTCACCCTGTGTATCCTCCTACCCCACAATAAAATGTCACATGCACTTTTTGCTTTAAAATTCAAAGTCCATTCCCTCCCAGCAGAGCACTGACTTGATGTCTAGTTGAACATGTGCCTCCCAATATGAAATTTTCTTCTGTGTCCCAAATACTGCTGTTTTGTACTTCTGGGTGAACCCCACTTGTGATTTTCTTCATTCACATCAACAGCAAGGTGCTGTCCAACCATACTACAGGACTGGAATGGATCCCATGAGCAAAACAATCTGCACTAGGACTGGTGATTTAACAGGCCCCACCATGACTGTTTGCTGCATTTGCTCATTGTTTTCTGCTTCTCATTCTAGGGCTCTTGGGACAGGATGGAAAAGGCTGCCAAATGTAACAAATGAAAAGAACAGAAATCCCCAAGTCTTTTAGCTCACACAGGTAGAATGCACCTTTCTTCTGGAATACAAAGTCTGTTTTTGCTGGCCTTACCCATGAGGTCCCATTCTCCATTGGGAATATAGCTGCTGATATCTGCCTCCTGCATCTGCAGGTCCAAAGACCACCCACCATAGGACCAGGACCCAAACTTCAGTTTGCACTGCTGCACATCAAAAGGGAACCAGCGCACATCAATGTAACAGGAGCTCTTGAATATGCCTATGAAAGGATGGGAAATGATCAGAAGACTGAAATGAAGCCAATTATAATGGGTCAAAATACAAAGCAGTTCCTACAGCCTCTTTCCTCCACCCCTGAACTCTTGCTAGACCTACCTAGAACAAACCGGGGTGCTTCCCCACACATGGTTTTTTTTTTCTTTTGCAAAAACCTCTAGAGTAGCTCAGCCAAAGCTTTATTGCTTTTCCAAATTAAAATACAGTGATAGTCTCTGTTATATGAGGCTTTTCTCATGAAATTGTGCAAATAATTAATTATAAACTTTATTTGCAATGGGCACATTCAGACTCTAAGCAATATGTGAAAAAGAAAGGATGTAATCAATCTCATAGAAGTTGATACAAATGATGAACTTAGAAAGGAAACTGGAAAGGCGCGTGAGGATGGAATATGGTATAAGATTAAAGAGAGAGTTTGGACACAAAGAAATATTCCACTGAAAGAAGTTAGAATTTCCAGAAGCAGGTTTCGCAGAAGGTCATAGTGCAGAGACATTTTGAGCCCTGGGCTCTTTCCTGCCTACAGTTGACTGGATTGTCCTAGAAGGTACAAAGGGCTGAAATATCCCAGTTCTAGTGGGGCAAGGGCAACACATTTCACGTTTATTTGACTGAATTAAAAGACTGAATGGAGGAAGGAACTGAAAGGCTCCACACATCAAGCTCCATTACACACCCATGCTGAGAAATCATAATACGTTGTCCCTGGAGGTACTTTCAATATGATTTAGAATCCCAGATACTTGGGGAAATGAGGAGTGAGGATGACAAGTTCAAGACCATCCCAGGCTTTGTAGTGATGCCCTGTCTCAAAAGAAAAAGCAGAAAGATTAGGGATATACAGCTCTGCAATAGACTGCTGACTTAGTGTGTATGAAGCTCAAAATCCAATCTGCAATACTATAGTGTGTGTGTGTGTGTGTGTGTGTGTGTGTGTGTGTGTGTGTGTGTGT